AAAAATTTATACATTATAAAAATAAGGTTAAGAATCAACTTGGCAAAAAGACTAATACAAATAAGAAGTGATTGAGATGGTAAATATGACTCACATTTCGATAGGTTTTGTCAAGAACATTGTATTATTCACTAAACTTTTGCGCCTTATACACCTCAGCAAAATGGGATTACTGAACGTAAAAATAGAACATTGAAAGAGATGATGCATGTCACGTTGATTAGTTCGAGATTATCTCAAAACTTGTGGGGGAAAATTTTGCTTTCAACAAACTAGATTTTGAATAAATTACCCTACAAGAAATTAGACAAAACCCCTTATGAATTATGCAAATGTCGGAGTCATTTCTATAAATATTTAAAAGTGTGGGGGTGTTTAACTAAGATTATGGTTCCTATTTCCAAAAGGATTAAAATAGGAATTAAGATTATTGATTGTATATTTATTGGTTATGCAATAAATAGTAGTGCATATCGTTTTCTCGTACATAAATCTGATATTCCTAATATACATGTCAATACAATCATTGAGTCAAGAAATGTATCATTTTTTGAAAATTTCTTTCCTAGTAAAAATGTATGTGATGAGAGTTCTCTTAAAAGAACTCATGATACTGCGACTAGTAATATATACCATAAGTATATAGATGAAGAAAGTGAAGAGGCACTTAGACACAGTAAGAGGACAAGGACTTCCAAATCCTATGGTCCTGATTTTCTAACATATTTGTTAGAAAATGAGCCAAAAGTTTCAATAAAACGATGTCCACTTCTGAAGCACCTATGTGGAAAGAGGTTGTAAACAGTAAAATTGAGTCTATCATGTAAAATCACACTTGAGAGTTAGTAAATCTTCCTCCATGAAGTAAACCATTGAGGTGTAAATAGATTTTCAAGAGAAAAATATAAACTGATGGATCAATTGATAATGACAAGTTAGACTAGTAACTAAAGGTTACAAACAAAAAGAAGGTTTTGTTTACTTTGATACATATTCTCCTGTCATGAGAATAACATCTATTCGTATGTTCATAGTTATTGCAGCGTTGCATAATCTTGAAATACACTAATGTGAAAATAGTTTTCCTAAATTGTGACTTAAATGAGGAAATTTATATGGACTAACCTGAAGGGTTCGTTTCTCCGGGACAAGAGAAGGTGCATAGACTTGTTCAATCACTTTATAGTTTAAAGCAAGTACCAAAATAATAGCATGAGAAATTTGATAAGGTAATGATGTCAAATGGTTTCACAATTAATGAATGTGATAAATGTGTCTATGTCAAAGACACAAATAATGCATGTAATTATTTGTCTATATGTGGATGATATGTTTATTTTAGGTAGTAATAATAATATTATTACAGCGACCAAGAAAATGTTATCTAGTAAGTTTGATATGAAAGATTTGGGGGTTGCAGATATTATACTAGGAATTAAAATTTCTAGAATATCTGATGGACTTATATTATTTCAATCACATTATATTGAAAAAATACTTGAGAAGTTCGACAAAAATGAAAGTAGTATTGCTAGAACACCAGTTGATATAAATCTTCATTTGTCTAAAAATACTGGATAAAACATATCACAATTAGAATACTCTCGTATCATTAATAGTCTAATGTATGTCATGAACTGCACTAGACGGGATATAACATACTTAGTTAATAAATTGAGTAGATATACGAGTAATTCGGGAGTAGACCATTGAAAGACAATTATCAAGGTTCTTAGATACTTAAGATATACCTTGAATTTTGGATTGCACTATACAAAATATCCAGTTGTACTTGAAGGATATAGTAATGCGAACTGAATATCTAATATGAAGGATGCAAAATTCACAAGTGGTTATGTTTTTACATTTGATGGTGCAGTTGTATCTTGGAAATCCTCTAAACAAACGTGTATTTTCAGATCCATTATAGAATTTGAATTTATTGCTTTAGATAAAGCAGGAGAGGATGAGTGGCTTCGCCAATTTCTACAAGATATTTCAAAATGGCCTAAACTTGTGCCAACAATTTGTATATGTTGCGATAACCAATCTGTAATTGGTAGGGCACAAAGTGACATGTATAATGGTAAGTCTAGACATAATACCGTTAGACAATTGCTCTCAAATGAGATTATTTCTATTAATTATATAAAATCAAAGGATAATCTAGCGGATCCGCTTATTAAAGGTTTGACGAGAGAGCAAGTAAATTACACATCAAGGGGAATGAGGCTAAAGCCTATGGCATAAGAGTCACCTTAATGGCAATCCAAATTAATTGACTAGAAATTCCAAGATCTAGATTCAAAGGGACAACCGAATTATGCATGATTCAAAAGAAGTACTAAATAAATAATATCTCCTGACTATTTCTATGATAAACTAGTGCTGTCTGCAGAGTTTATTAGGATAAACTATGTTTTTCATGACTTTTATACCTTGAAAAATTCAAATGGGATATTGCAGGATATTCATAATAGGAGTCACCTATATTGGTGTGAAGGAGCCGCTTCTGTGAGAATTTATAAAGGCTGAATTCTCTAAAATAATCATGAAAACCAGGAGTTTTTCAAGGCTAAAATGAACACAATTATGAGAACTAACTATGTTAGGAAAGAGACTGTGAAAAGTTTATTCGATCTAATTTATCAAACAACTAAATAGTTTAAGACATCACGTTCACTATTTAGCCGGTAAGTTCGATGGACTGTCACTAGGGAAAGTTCAAAACCAAAAATTACCTATCTCGATGCACGATCTTTCCAAATATGTATACTTTATAGTGTGTCAGCATTATCATTTGTATACTAACAGCCAATTTTTCATTCATGTGGGAGATTGTTGGACCAAATCAATTTTTTAAGTGTAAAAACTGAATTTTTGGTCGACTTTGAGCCTAAATTAAAGTGAGACCCGTTCATTATTTCGAGTAAACTTTCTTGAGTTTGTATTCTACTCTGTGAGGAGAATAATTTAGTATATTCAGTTGCTCAAATTGAATAAGAAATAAATGAGAAAATAGGTTCTAAAGTGACTCACTTGAAACGTGAAAATAGAGGTTGTGCAATATGTGATTTGACATCAATCCCACATTGGTTGAGGAAGAAATTTTACATTGACATATATAGGTCAAATTTGCTCTATGGGATTGGATCATAAGGCATACCATAATTTTATGAGCGAAGGAGTGCTTACATGCCTTCGGTTCTACCACACGCACCCTGTTCGCCAAGCCATGACCCGATCGGGCACGGGTTTGGGTGTGACCAAATCCTATCTTCTTAAAGAAAATTCGCTTAATTAATTAGGCAATAATTTCTGAACCAAAATTAAATTTTTGTACCTGTTACATTTGAATTCGCACTGGTTTGGAGGGTAATTTCCTTCAATTTGAAATTTTGTGTTGTGTTTGTTTATAGAGAACAGTTACACAAGTGGTATCTTCTGAATGTTGTATTTGTTTTTTGGGTTGTGTCTTAGAGTATGGTGGCTATCCGGAATAGTCACCAGACTGTCTATAAATAACCAGACTCTCATTACCATTCGGCATTCATTCATTCATCAGTCCTTTTAAAGTTAAGTCAGACATTAGATCATTACATTTCAACATTAAGGTAGTCTGTATTTAGTACATAACATAATTTCTGGTTCGCTATACGGGTAAATTGGAGTGTTACTTCTACTTGTGTGAAGATCATTGTATCTTAGGAGACAAACACTTTATATTCCATAAGCACCGTGTGTGGGGGCGAAATCTGTCTTAAAAACATAATGTCAAACACTAGTCTTGATCTACTTAAAGTTCAATAACAATTCTTATTCTATAAATGAGTTAGTATTTATATTGGTTAAACAAACAGTTACGTGTAACTGTTTCTTTAAGACTATTGTAACTGTTTCGTTAATTCTTCTGCAAGTGTTTCTATATTCTGTGTAACTGCTTTTGCATTTGACTGTTACTGTTTTATTCTAAGTTACACAATATTAGAAATTTCAATAAGTGATTTTATTATATTTAGAATACCACAAACAAAAAATATAAGATAATTCAAATTTCATAAAATAAACATAATAACTTTACTTTTTCACGGTTGAGATCGTCTTAAAATTATGTTTATTTTAATCAATGGTTGAAAATCATTGTTAATTTTGTTTTTTCACCCAAAATATTACATCCATTCCTACGCAATTCCGCGTGTCTGGACTATAGCATCTCTGTGTGCCAGCTAAGCTATCTGGATATAGCTAGCTAATTAATATTCTAGTCCGTGATATGAGCATAGTTTCTATAAATAATTAGGATGTGTTCATAAAAATAGTGTTAATTTGATGGAATCTTATTTAACGATTAATTCAAAACAATGGGTCAATTAAAGGATATCAATTAAATGTGTACATTTAGAATTACATGTTGAATTTGACATATGTAAATTTATACATATAAAACATAACTTCATTCTATTGTTTTATTACTATGTTGCTAAATAATTTTGTCAACTTAAAATTAGAGCATAATATTAAATCCGATAATGAATTAGATCATGTTTTCTTTAAATTCATGAGCTTCTTAGTCATTCAATAAATTATATACACAAATTGATTTTTTGTATTCCCCTTTTTAAAATAGACTATCAATTTTTTTTTAGGTTTAGATTGATTTGAAATGGTAAGTACAAAATTTTGTATGGTATTAAAAATATCTATATTGTATGATTAGTGCTCGATTTTGTGTAGCATAATGCCTTCATGCACGGATTTTGTCGAGTTAATAAAAAAAGTGATTTATCACAATTTAATATTTCATATAGTGGGCTCAATTCTTTGCTCTACTTTTATATTGCACTATGCCTTCCGGCACAAGTTATTACTAATATATTTAAATATTGTTTTGGATCCTGGTAGTTGCTAATTTCCAAAGGGGATGGAGTCCCGTAATAAGGGGTTAACTTTGTTAATCCAAATTACATCTTTCATGTTGATGATAGACAGCACACACGAACCTGAGACCACCTTTGCTTGCATTAGGGGGAAGTCCAACAGGGTAAGATCAACACACAAACTCTGCCTTCCTTCAGCATGATGCAAGGTTCCTCTATAGCAAAATTGACGATGAAGCTGAGTAAGAGGGATCCTCCTGGTTGCATGCACAGCCTCAGAAAGTTGGTCCAACTTGAACTACAAAATTATCCCAGACCATTGAAGCTGATCAAAAGATTCCAAACACAATATTCACCAGAGACTGGATTTGAAAATCAATCATGGCATCTGAATCTGAACAAGATCCACGTTGGACTCCTCACCATCACGGCTGGTTTGAAAGGAACTCCAGCAAAATCGTAGAAAATATGTATAAATTTCAAGAAAAAATAACTTGAGCACAACAGTCACATCACTGATAATCAACACAATTGCCAATAACACAGTAATGGCATTAGAAAGAAGTTAGTGGAATGTTGACTAAAAAACTATCCCGGACGTGTGAACCTGATCCAGATACAACATTAATACAGGTTCCATTTGAATGTGAAGCATGTTGGATTAGAGGGAGTCTCTGGTTTATGGTAAAAAAATCATGCTTAATGTCACAAAACATAATATGTGCACAAATACATGGTAAGCATTCATACACAAGAGAGAGAGAGAGAAATTGGTCACATCAAGGGATTCACACAAACACAATTCTGTCCCATCACAACCTAATGTAGTCCTAGCTAAAAACGTTGACATGGGTTGAGTTCCAATGCCAGCAGTAAACTGACTTAGATGGCATAGGGAAAAAGGTATACATTTTAAGAGAGATTTTTGACTAGGTGTGCTTAGGTCTGAAAGGGCAAGTTGGATATAATGGAAATTTCAAAAAGCAGGGGGAACACGTTTAAGAAAACACTCTCTCAAACTTGTGCTACTCTCATAACAAGTATATAGAATGGACCTAAATGGAGGGTTGGGAGTAGGTAAATAATATTAGGGAGATAAACAACTTGTCAGGATTCAGGAATTCACAACCCCTTTGTATAAATTTGCACCAGCACCTCTTCAAATTTTAGAGTTTGAGACGTGCACAAGCCAAAACTTGTCTTCTACTAATTGTCAATTGCAAGCTAATAGACTGGACATGCCAGTGAAAGTGCTCATAACTAAAGTTTTAACAATACTCTATACACCATGTGCTGTGTCACAACTCAAAAGAGCTTTCCCCCAATCTTCTGTAAAACAACTGAAAGACAGAACATCGATAATTCATATTGTTTACATGGTCATGCCAATAATAATAGGTCCTTCATAAGGATAAACTAGAAATATAATGATGCAGATTGCAGACCTTTACCAGTCTTCCATCCATGCATGAATCCATACAGGAGCAACAAGATCTTATGACTCTTAGCAATATCCAAGTA